TAATAGTTAGAAGAGGGTTTTGGGGGCTCCTTTAAAGGGTTCCTTAAAGGGTTCTATAAGGGCTACTGCAAGGGTTTAGGGTTAATGTAGGGGCCTTAATAATTAGAATAGGGTTTTGGGGGTTCCTTATTATAATTATGGTATAATATCCCCAAACCCCATTCTAATTATTAAGGCCCCGACATTATTCCCCAAAAGAACACATGGCCAGTCCAGAACCTGGCGCTTTAGCTGGAGTGTTTGTTTTCACTCCACAGCTTCGGGGTTTAGTCGGGGAGAGCTGAGGACGAGACGGGTTGAGATTCAGTCGAGCATATGCGTAGTTCTCCAAATTAAGGTCCCTGTTTGGATCCCCGATATAGTACGGCGCCCCGTACAAAAAGGACCCCAAAAGGACCCCAATTTAGAGAATTACCCAAATAGATGCACGTCAGCAAGAAACCCTGCAACTCTGTAGTCTCACATGGTGCTATGCTTTGTGCAGTGGTTGACTTGCTAACGTCCCCAAGGGCCCGAACTGCACACCCATACATGTTTTCGTCGAACCGTCCCTTGCGGGCCGACCCCCTCAACCCGAAGCCTAAACCCTAAACCCGAACACCTTCAAGCTTGTCCTGAGGTCAAAAACCCGGAAGCGCAAGGATTTCCCGGACCTGAACCCCCTGGCACAGCTCAAGAAGTTCACCTGCGCCCGGCCCTCTATGCAGTATAGCAGCTTTAACCAAGTGCAACCCTGCCTCCCTGCACCCATGAGAGCGAGGCCGCTCACCCCGTCATGAACCCACGGAAGCCTACAGGGTGGGCTTGAGACTCGGATGTGTACTTAGGGCTCCTTTTGAAATGCTGGTCAGGGTACATTTTGGGTTTTACAGTGCGGGATACCGGCCATAAAGCCATACATCATGTTCCTGTGTCTGTGGCTTAAAACAGGCACGGTAAACCCGAACCCGAACGCCAAGTCATAAAGCCGCAAAGTACAGTTATAGGTACCTTTAAGTCCCATGAACCTTTAAGTACTCTCAGAAAGCCAAACCAAACCTTTGAAGCGGGTTCCGCCGAGGTCGGGTCCCATCCGATCCACAAGTCCACCGCGTCACGGGGCTCAGCTAAGCAGCTGAAGGTTTGTTCACTGGGGCTCAACCCCAAACCCGAAGCCCTAAACCCAAAACCACGAACCCTATCCCCAACCCCCAGACCCGCAGCCCTTGAGACCTGAATCCATTAGGCCGGGAATCACATGCGTCGACATCCACCGCTCCGATGCCAAGCGAGTTGTGACGGGCGGCATGGATGCGCAGGCGGGTTTCGGGGTCTCAGGGGCTTTCGGGGTCTTAAGGCCTTAGATTAGGGTTTAGGGTTTAGGGTTTAGGGTTTAGGGTTTAGGGTTTAGGGTTTAGGGTTTAGGGAGTTTTCAGGAGTGTCTTGACCCAAGTGTGGAGATCGGGATTTGGCCTTATGCCCCAAATCCGGATCCGACTGGCACACCGCTTAGGGATGTTTGGAAAAAGACTCACATTCCCATCCCTACACAACTCAACCCAAAACCCGAGCTTCTAAATCCCGAAGCCATTTAGGACGTCGTCTCCGCAGTACGTGCCACAGGTCATCGTTTTCGATGCTGAGAAAGAGAAGATGCAAGAGAAGCTCCTGGGCCATGCGAAGAAGGCCCCGTGTAGTGGCGAAGGGTTTAGGGGTTTAGGGATTAATTGTTGTCGGGTAGAGCTTCTTTAAGGAGTTCTGCAAGGGCTCTACAAGGGTTCTGCACGGTTAAGGATTTTCGTGTAGAGTTTCAGGTAGCGGTATTATCAAGAACACCCGGCAGGCAGTAAGTAGATGTCTTTAGTGCAACATCCAGAGCGAACAGCCCAAAGCCCATGCTTTCAAGACCACTGAAAAGCTAGCAGTTTCTGCTTCACATTGAAGCGGTGTCCTGGGGTTGAGGCGCGTGGACGTTTGGTGTTTTAGGGGCTCTGGGAGTGCCGAGTTTTCGACTTTAAACTTTTTTTTTGGGTTTTCGGGCTTCGGGTTACCTTGTTCCCAGCACCTCCGTGGCCCCTGCGCCCTTTCTCCAGATCACGGCGGTGGCTTTGCACGCGACGAAGGCGGTGGCCTCAGCGATGCGCTTTGAGGGACATTGAAGACCTCGGGAATCCGAAGGCCCTTGGCATCATCTCTGTAATATAGGGGCCTTAATAATTAGAATAGGGTCTGGGGGCCCAGAATCCTATAACTATAACAAGGAACCCCCCCAAACAAAAAACAGTAATTATTGGTATGTGTAGGCCCCTACAGTACCCTCAACCCTACAACCCTACGCCCTGAATGCTTAGTTCTTTACTGGCTGCATGGACTGCACCTCGAAGCCCCCAAAACAGTTACCGCAAACACTTGCTGAAACTTGTCTTAAACCCCAAACCCCAAGCCGTAAACCCATGAACCCTAAACCTTAAACCCCAAACCCCAAACCCCAAACCCTAAACCCTTAAACCCTAAACCCTAAGCCCTTAAACTCTAATTCCTGAGCCCTAAACCCTTAAACCCCAAACCTTAAACCCTAAACCCTAAACCCCTGCACCCTACACTCCTAAACCCTAAGCTCCTAAACCCAAAACCCTAAACCCAGGACGTGGTGCTTTCTGCTTCGCAGGACGCCACTGTCAAGGCCGGGCTTCTTGGATTTCAGGGTTTAGGGATTTAGGGATTTAGGGATTTAGGGTTCAGGGATTGAAGGTTTAGGGTTTAGGGAGTTTAGGGATTCAGGGTTTAGGGTTGGTTTAGGGATTTAGGGTTTAGGGTTTAGGGTTTAGGGTTTAGGGGTTAGGGGTTTAGGGGTTTAGGGTTTAAGGGTTTCAGGGTTTCAGGGTTTCAGGGTTTCAGGGGTTTCGGTTCCGGATATGTGCGTCTTCAGGGCTCCTTTTAGGTGTCTTTGTGTTGGGCCTACGGTTTCAATTCAAGGCTCCTGGATCCTAAACTCTATACTAGAAGCGCCATTTGGGGTGAAAGTTTTACAGGCTAGGGGTTCAGGATCAGGGTTGAGGGGTCAGCTGTAGGGTGTGGACCTAGGTGTGGACCTCGAGCGCGGAATGGACCGGCCCGTCTTTATCTCAGACTCAGAATGCCCAGGGGCTTGGGAGTTCGGGGCTGTCGTTGAGGGCTTTTTTTGGGGCTTTGCTCTTGGGCGTTTGGATTTAGGAGTTTTGGGTTTCAGGTTTGGCGCTTTCGGATTTCGGGGGTACTCTCGCTGATTGATGGATATCCGATTGAGTGCTCTGGTCCAGCAGTACAGCCAAACATAACCACGTATTCCTCGCACCGACTTCGATGTTTTTCTACTTTACGGAAATTCCGGGATGTTGGCTCCCTAAACCCTAAACCCTAAACCCATTGGAGGGAAGTTACCACTTTCAGCTTCACGGGTTTGAAAGGTCTCGCTTGGTCTGGAGGGGGTCTGTACATCCGTTGGTACGAGCACTAGACCTGAGACCCTAGGGCACTGAATCCTAAACTCTAAACCGTAAAGCCACCAAAACGCTAAACCCTAACTGCACGCATGCCTGAGGTGCTCAGTATCTCAACCCTACAAAGGGTCGTGCAAGTTGATGGTCTCTCCTCACACTACGAAAGAGCTAGGTCGAGTGTGCACTTGTACTATAACTGATCTCCTCCCTAAACCCTAAACCCTAAATCCGAAACCCTAAACCCGAAAAGGTCTAGGGTCTAGGAATCGTAACTCGGCGTATCGTAGCCCTCTTTCTTTGGTTGCACGCAGCCGCTGACGAGGTACACGTGCAGCCACACGATTCGGAAGCATGCCGGGGAGGCCCTCAGGACTTAGGTCACTGTTCAGGGTTTAGCAAGCAGGGGTTTCGGGTTTAGGGTTTAAG